CCCCGGGGCACCCTTTTCAGTGCTCTACCATTGGCACAACACCGAGAAACATACCCCAAGAAGTCGAAATCTACGGGTCTTTCTGTTATACCGACACTGGCTCTACCCAAGCAACCCGGGCACAGCCAACGCCCGAAGGTGTCTGCCTGTGCTCTAGTCAGCCCTACGCATGAGAGATGGTAACATCCCTCACACGAAGAACAACTAACTGTCCTCTTCTTGTTGTTAACAGTCGAGCAACTCAGGCACCGACGTCCTCTCCCCTCCATCCCTCGGCCGTTTCCATGAGGTTAAGCGAAAACCAAGACGGAACGGCTGCTGTGGCTACAATCAAAATTACGCTTATGCTGGATCGAATACTACGTGCAACTAGTCAAGCAAGTGGCACGCCGCAAAAGAATAACGAGCACACTCAGTAGAAAGACGTGTCAATAATAAAATCACTGCGTCAGCAAGAACGAGAAGAGAGAATGGGGGCAACGTACGTGCAAGGCTACAAAGCAAACAACAAGCGATCGAAGAGCTCTTAGGCACCACACAACCTGCTCTCGTTGATGCTCAATTAACACTCCCAAATTGATACGAAACAAAATTGATACGAAAAATTAGAAAATAATCATATTGAAAATGAATGAATATGGCAGATTATAATGTTCCAGCTTACACTATGGTTACCATAAACCATATTGGGAGTAGATGGTCCTTGTATATTCATAAAAATTATGATAACGATTAAATTTAGTGAAATCCCAGTAGTTTACATTTATTTGAAAGGATTTCTAATTGATGAATTAGAGAATTATTTCGTGCTTTAAATGATAGTCACAAGAGTTGAGTTCTGGCAGTGATAGAGGACGCACGTAAGTGTTTGCGGGTTCCAACTTTCTCACTTTTTACTATGCCGGTTTGACATATCTCGAATTTTGTACCGAAACGATTTCAGTGAAAGGTTCAATTTTAGTGCAGTTCAGTCAAAATTGTGCGAATAGTGAGAAAAACGGCTAGTATAAGTGTTTTATTCAGTGCATGAAACGAGGGCAAGTTTTGTAGCTTGTTGGGGACCCTCGGCGACCGCCTGTAACCGGAGAACAATCGGTGCCTTGAGTACGCTCTGGCCTCGCCTTCCTATACCCTCTCCACCCTCTTGGCCCCTACACCTCCCCCTCTCCGACACCCCTGTCTTTCCCTCGCCAGCTGCAGCTCAGCTGTTCCTACAGCCGGAATTTTCGAGGGAACTTTACTTACTCAACTCAACTCAGTTTTATATGTTTCTCCGTCCTTTCCTGTATTTTTCTCCGTCCTTTTCTCCGTTCAAGAGATCTAGTTCGTGTATTTTAATAATGGCTGGACGGAAAATAAAAAAGATAGTCGAAAAGCCCTCAACGGCCTCTAGAAAAAAGCCATCTACGGCCTCTAGAATAAATAAAACCAAATCGGCCCAGCTAGAGATGAAAGTTTGCAAGTACTGCAAAGAGATCTCTCTGAGCGAAGTCCAGACGGTCATCTGTGAACGATGCGAAGATCTCATTTGTATCAGCTGTTCGAAGTTGAGCTCTAAGGAGTACACATTTCTCCAGAAATCTAAATTGCTTCATTGTTTTTTCCGTGATTGCGAAAAACCAACTCTTGGTGCTCGAAAAAGAGAGGAGTCGGTGGAAGAGCACGACAATGAGTCGAAATTTTTTAATGTTGCAGTAAACTCCTTGAGTGCGATGGTGCGCTCGCTGAGTGACAAACTGAGGTCGCTATGCAATGAGCTGACTGAAGTGAAGGCTCAGTTGAAAAATACGGAAGAAATGGAAGTAAAGAACAAGACAGATGATTTATCTTAAGTCGCTAGTGAAAGCTCACGTGAATTGCATGATAGAGAACGTAGGAAGGCCAAACTGATCTGGTTTGGGATTCCTGAAAGTAACGCATCTGATGCGAAGGACCGAGTGATGGATGACACGGCATTTGTTGTAGATTGTTGCAGCAAGGTACTCAACACATCGATTGATGTTATATCTTGCAAGAGGCTACGCTCGAAGGATGCTGCTGCCAGCACCTTCAGACCTCTGCTGGTGACTGTAAAGGATTCTGCTCAGGTCTGGAGCGTGCTGAAAACAACGAGAAAGCTTGGAGAATCCACTGATTACAAGTCAGTTTTTGTAAAGAAAGATTTCTTCCCCTTAGAAAGGGCGGTTTTTCGCAAGAAGTGGCAGGAGAGAATCAGGCGGAAAGGCACGGAAAATCAGGTCAATCACTTCCAAGCTGCCCAGACAACACCGGCTGCTCACGGACATTCAGAGGAGATGGAGGACAAGTAATTAGTAGGAATGATGTCTGTAGGTCAAGGCCTGTAAATAATTTAGGAAGTAACCGCATACATCAAAGTGAAAGTGCACAAGTTTTAAAATGTTTTACACGAACTCGGATTCTGTCGCGTTTATAAAATAAATATTAACGCGAAGGAACAGGAAACAGAAACTTCTCGCCAACCTCGAGGATTTTTCCGCGAGTTGGAAACAGAACCGACGCCGCCCAACATTCAAACTGAACGTGCTCTGCAGCTCGAGAACGCTGCAGCTCTTTTGTGCTCTTATTTCGCGATGAAATTTTGTTATTAGCATAAACAATCATTTAAATTGCGCCTAAACTATTGAATTTGACATCCAGTAGGAGCGAGAACATTTATTTGTGAGATTAGCTGAACTGTGTTGTGTCGAATCGAAAAGACTGTGTGAGACTGTGGCAGCCATTTGCAAAGGCGATTCCCAGCTTTCTGAGCCTGGTAGAATTCTAGTGTTAAAGTAGTGCCTGATTGTTCTGTACTATGAGATTATCATTTATTAATTAATTATCAGTTAATTATCTAACAATTTATGCCTCATTCGTCATACTAGCCTGACACGTTCTTCCCTTAGTTGAGTTGGAGCCTGCTTGATCAGATCATCAATTAGTTATGAGTGCCTGAGGTAGATTTGTGCAGCTGTTATTAATAATTTCAAAATGGTTTATTTAACCGATTTGGGTTTAATTAACTCGTCATTTAATTCAGCCACGTTTAATGACCTTGCCATTTCACTTAGTTTTGACATACTGTTGAAATTAGAGAAGTTGAATCTCTTTGAATGATAAACCATTCAAGTGGTAAGAGTGCCAATGAAGCACATTATGTAGTAGATCACAATCTATTAAGTACCAGTTGGATGGATCCAGTATGAATGTCTAGCGTGTCTGAATTTTTTAATTAAGAGATCATTCAGCACAATCAAAGGATACCTGTTACTTTGTCTATAATATGTCAATCTTCTGCGCAGGACGCAGGTATCGAAAAATAAAGAAAATAATATTTCAAACTCAGTAGTAAACTCAATTTTTGGCAACCCCAGAGCAACGTGAGTAATCCGTGTTTAACTAGGGCGTCTTTTCATTGCAAGATGTAATACCGTGGCCAGTATAATACTCGATATTACTAGCATTAAAAATATCTTAAGAAGATGATTTGCTTTAGAGCTCGGTATGTTTTGAATTAGCCTGAGCTGGTAGTTATCATGGTGTTTACCATTTTTGTCCATTAGATTTCACCTTATTATGCTAACATGAGCATAGAGAATCGACATGTTTAATGTTGTCAAGACTTGTCTTACGTATGTCTTCGTGTCTTTGATTTTCAAGCGATGAGAACCTTTGAGTCAAGCTGTGGAATGCTCACATTTCTTATATTTGAGTGGCGGTGAAAATTCTAACTTATATTTAAATTGATTCCTGTTGTGAGCTAAACAGCAAACCATGTCCTTTGAACTTTATAATAATAAATTTAATATTTGATTTCATTTCTATTTGCACTATCTCTAATTACATTCTGATCGTGCAGGATTTACGGTGGTTTTATGAAGTAAACATTCAACGAAAATATCAAGCTTTCCTTGGACCTTACTGAATTTAACACGCCGTCAACTGCCTAGACCGCCTTTATATCCTAGAGACCCGGACTAGGCAG